GCCGCCGCCGCCGCCGCCGCAGACATTAGTGCTAGGAAGATGGCGCACCCGGCAGTGTTCCCTCGAAGGGGCAGCGGTAGTGGCAGCGCCTCGGCTCTCAGTGCAGCAGGTACGGGCGTCGGGAGCAGTGCCACATCTTCCGAGGATTTTCCGCCTCCGTCGCTGCTCCAGCCGCCGCCTCCTGCCGCATCTTCTACGTCGGGACCACAGCCCCCGCCTCCACAAAGCCTGAACCTCCTTTCGCAGGCTCAGCTGCAGGCACAGCCTCTGGCGCCAGGCGGAACTCAGATGAAGAAGAAAAGTGGCTTCCAGATAACCAGCGTGACTCCGGCTCAGATCTCCGCCAGCATCAGCTCCAACAACAGTATAGCCGAAGACACGGAGAGCTACGACGATCTGGATGAATCGCACACGGAAGATCTCTCTTCTTCGGAGATCCTGGATGTGTCCCTTTCCAGGGCTACTGACTTAGGGGAGCCTGAACGCAGCTCCTCTGAGGAGACTCTCAATAACTTCCAGGAAGCCGAGACACCTGGGGCAGTCTCTCCCAACCAGCCCCACCTTCCTCAGCCCCATCTGCCTCACCTTCCACAGCAGAATGTTGTGATCAATGGGAACGCTCATCCACACCACCTCCATCACCACCATCACAGTCATCATGGGCACCACCTCCAGCATGGGCACCACCATCCATCTCATGCTGCTGTGGCCAGCGCGTCCCTTCCTGGAGCACCACCCTCAAGCCCAGTGTCCAGAAAACTCTCTTCTACTGGAAGCGCTGACAGCGTTCTACCAGTTGCGCCAGCTTCTGCTGTATCATCCGGTGGCCCACCTGCATCTGTAATGACTAATATCCGTGTTCCAAGTGCTCCAAGTACTACAGGCGGTATAGGTATCAATTCTGTTACTGGCACTAATACAGTGAATAATGTTAACGTTACTGCTGTGGGTAGTTTTAATCCCAACGTGACAAGCAGCATGCTTGGTAATGCTAACATAAGTACAAGCAATATTCCTAGTGCTGCTGGTGTGAGTGCTGGGCCTGGAGTTGCCAGCGGTGTTAATGTGAATATTTTGAGTGGCATGGGCAATGATACTATTTCTTCCTCTGCTGCTAACAGTGTCCCTCATGCAGCTGCAGGGATGACTGCAGGATCCGTTGCTGGTCCACAGCAACAACCAACAGTTAACACCTCGAGGTTCAGAGTTGTGAAGTTAGACTCTAGTTCTGAGCCCTTTAAAAAAGGTAGATGGACTTGCACTGAGTTCTATGAAAAAGAAAGTGCTGCACCTGCTACGGAAGGTGTCATGATCAATAAAGTGGTGGAGACTGTGAAACAGAACCCAGTAGAAACGACTTCTGAGAGGGAGAGCACTAGTGGCAGTTCTGTGAGCAGTAGTGTCAGCACACTGAGTCACTACACAGAGAGTGTGGGAAGTGGGGAGATGGGAGCTCCTGCCATGGTGGTGCAGCCGCAGCAACAGCCGCCACCACCAGCTCCTCAAGGTGTGGCCCTTCAGCAGATGGATTTCAGTGCCACGGGTCCACAGGGTGTTCTGGCAGTTAGCATGCCACAGAGTATTTCTCAGTCACAGATCTCGCAAGTACCTTTACAGTCTCAAGAACTGAGCTATCAGCAGAAGCCGGGTCTTCAACCAGGACCTTTGCAAGCTGCCATCAGTTCTGCGGCGGGTATTCAGCCACCGCCTGTAAACGTGGTTGGTGTAACTTCAGCTTTAGGTCAGCAGCCTTCCGCTTCCAGTTTGGCTCAGCCCCAGCTGCCATATTCTCAGACGGCTCCTCCAGTGCACACCCCCCTTCCAGGGGCACCACCCCAACAGTTACCTTACGGACAGCAGCAGCCAATGGTTTCTACACAGATGGCACCAGGCCATGGTAAACCGGTGACTCAAAATCCTGCCTCAGAGTATGTACAGCAGCAGCTGGCTCTTCAAACAGCAGTGTCCTCTGGACAGCCCAGTTCTGCAGGAGTGGGAGCAGGGACAACTGTGATTCCTGTGGCTCAGCCACAGGGTATCCAGCTGCCAGTGCAGCCCATGGTGGTCCCGGCCCAACCTGCTGGGACCTCTGGCCAGCCTGTTGGCCAGGCTCAGACAGCAGTGTCCGCTGTACCCACTGGCAGTCCAATTGCAAATATCGGTCAGCAGACAAACATACCTACTGGGGTGCAGCAGCCCTGTTCCCAGGTTCCACCTTCAGTCATTCAGCAAGGTGCTCCTCCATCTTCCCAAGTAGTTCCACCGACGCAAACTGGGATCATTCATCAGGGAGTTCAAACTAGCGCTTCGAGCCTTCCTCAACAATTGGTTATTGCACCCCAAAGTACCTTGTTAACTGTGCCTCCCCAGCCGCAAGGAGTAGAGCCAGTAGCTCCAGGAATTGTTTCGCAGCAGTTGCCTGCAGTCAGTCCTGTGCCCTCTGCCAGTAGTATTTCTGTTACAAATCAGGTTAGTTCAGCTGGTCCTTCTGGAATGCCTTCTGCCCCAACAAACTTGGTTCCACCACAGAATATAGCACAAACCCCAGCCACCCAAAATGGTAATTTGGTTCAGAGTGTTAGTCAACCTCCCTTGATAGCAACTAATATAAATTTGCCTTTGGGACAACAGATACCACTAAGTTCTGCTCAGTTCTCTGCACAATCATTAGCTCAGGCGATCGGAAGCCAAATTGAAGATGCCAGGCGCCCAGCGGAGCCCTCCTTAGTTGGCTTACCTCAGACTATCAGTGGTGACAGTGGGGGAATGTCAGCAGTTTCAGATGGGAGTAGCAGCAGCCTAGCAGCCTCTGCTTCTCTTTTCCCGTTGAAGGTGCTACCGCTGACGACACCCCTGGTGGATGGAGAGGATGAGAGGTAAGATCATTGCCATATTTCTGCAGTCAACACGTTGGAAGTAATCTGTTTGAGAGCTGTGTGTGCACAACATTAGCCTTCAGTGTTAAATATTGATTTCATTTTTGTCTGTGAAAAGTGCGTTTTCATGGTAAGTTTTCTAGAGTAAGAGTGTTACAGAATGATTTCAGAGTGGGTAGGAAATAATATAAGCAGTATGGAAACTATTTTCAGAATAGTTATTGAGCATATGTTCACATTAGAAATAGGTTTGGGGGCATTGGGTTTATTTATAAAATGCTTTTTAGAAAGATTAATTATGAAAAGCCTAATTTTTGCTAACCTAGATAATATTTAATCTATTCCTTTGAGTTACTGAAATCTTTATGATCATCTCTTGGGGAGTTGCGGTTCCCTCATTTGTTCTCCTTTCCTAGACGGCCCTTTTCCAGCTCTACTCTGTTTGAGCTTAGTCTATGAAAGATACTGTTAACCTGCTTTAACTGTTCAGACACTGAAGGAAAGATGACCTAATCTGAGTTATATAGGTTACTCTCATACTGCAAATTGATCAATTTTTGCGTACTTATTTAATGGTCATTTTATCTGAACAGTAAGGGGCTGGGAATTTTAAACAGTGTTTTGCAGGGGAGAAGGACATGCACTGTCAAAATAACCAGATTTATCTTAAATTTTAGTATGCTGTTTTTTCTTTTGCATGGTAGATCAAGGTGGTAGCCATTTTAAGGAGTAAAGAAAGTAAGTCTTAGGGGTTTGAGTATATAAAGGCATGAAAATAAGACCTCATTCTGCTGATCCATTCCCCCTGTTTTCTTTTCTTACCCCCCCAAAAATACATAATACCTAAAATATATTACTAAACTAGTGTTTTCTCAATTAGATTGGAAATAATGCACTAATCACGCTTAGAGAATTAAATTGTGTCTTTGAAGCTGACTGGCAAGAAGAGTTGTGAAACTTTCATCTCTTCATCGCTTTAAAACCTAGTTGATTTTTAAAGGAGTATTTTCACAAATTTGCCAGTCTGTGACTAACCTTGATCAATATGATATCATAGGCGCTATGAAAAAACTATTCATTTTCACTGTGGAATTTTGAATAAGCATGCAAGATACTTTAGTATTATTTTAGTATTAGTTGGAGATTTTGTGATTGGACTTTCACCAAACCAGTGAAAACATTTATATTTTATCTGTATATTTGTGGTTTTTACTTTGGAAAAAATTAGCATATTGCAAAAGAATTATAATTTAGAAAAACCAGCAAATGTTTCAGTGAGGTTTTCATTATTTCTTTAGTTGTTTAAAAAAATACAAGGTAAAGACGTGATTAATTAGTAAGTTAAAATCTTGTCGGGGGTGGTAAAGAAAAAAAAAATCTTGTCTTTCAAGATTTTTTTTGTTTTCTAATAGTCTATTGTTACCTAACCAAATGTATTCTGTATTCTGTGTACAAAACTGTACTTTAAAAGGATAGATTTCTTCTAGGAGGTAGTTTCCTTAATTGTTCCATTATTACTATTAAACCTTTAATTTTATCTTGCTAATACTCACCTGTAATTTTAAAGTTATTTACCATGAATATTAATGTTTTCTAAATCAAAAGGTTGTGATCTGAGTGAAGCCCCTACAAAGACAGCGACATTATGTGGAGGCCAAATTTAGAGAAATAAAGGACTGTGAAATATACAAATGAAAACCACACATTTTGAATTCAAACCTGCCATGATTTTGTTAATTACCATTTGTGGTCTTCTGGCATGACTATCCTTTTTTTTATCCTCCTGTTGGTAAAACATGGTAGGGCTTTCCACAACTTGTTTCAAACAGAGTCCAGATAGTGCTGCTTTCAACTAGGTTTTTAACTATAAGAATGGGATCCCAGTTTAAGATACTAGTACAAAGTTAACTTTTCCAGATAGTAATTGAGATAAGGGTTAATAAATAGCACATTATGTAGAAACGTGTGGAATTCTAGAAAGAGACAAGATGAGATACTGAGAAATATGAAATATTTGTCTGCAGTAACTTGAGTTGTTTTTGCACTATACCTGTTTCAAATTTACTACATATTTGAGCCTTTGTTAGTAACATCAAAGTTAAGTCATCAAAACTGGAAAATTTTTGTTTCAGAGGTATCTTTCAAATTCTGTAAAATCAAAATGTTTCACCCCTAAAATAGCTTGCAAGGTCAGACTATGTATCTATGTACTTATTTATGTGTATATCTATATCTCTATATAATCTTTTATCACTGTATATCACAGTGATAAGAGTATTTTATCACTGTAATTTGGAAAGAGAAATGCTGTTGCATATAAATTTAGCCTTGGAAGAGAAAAAGTGATATGATTTAAAATCCTTTTTAACCTTTCTTCCCATGTTAACTTCTGTGTCACTTTCATCTTCTGGGCTCTCTCATGGGAGAAAGGGGAACACTATAATTTCAAAGTTATGACTCAGGAATTATGTTAACAGTATAACTTTTTGGTGGCAGGCACGGTGGTTATTTATTAACCATCTTTTGAAATAATACTCTAACACTTTAGATTGTAAAATGCTTAGACTTGTGAAAAATGCCTTCAGTTGGCCCCTGGGAGAGACTAAATAGATGAGAAACATGGATCAAGGCATGCAGAGTATGTGTCTTGTTTAAAAAGAAGACATTCTTATTAAAAAGGTCTTAATGTCTTAGCCTTCAACAGACTTTCTATTTACAAGAATGGGAAGATACAGGCATTTCACACTGAAATGTCTTTTATGTTTTGTGATTTTTTTAGTACAGCCTCTTTGAAGGGGGTCAAACTTCTATTCATCCTTCAAGACGTTCTCATGGAAGCATTCACCTCGCCCAGGGGATGTTGTTTCCTTAGCAGTTTTAATGTTCCTCTAAGCACTATACACATGGAATTATAATTATGCTTACTGATCTTTCCTTCAAGACTGGTATTTCCTCAAGGGCAAGGACTAAGTATTTTTTGGCTTAATGAGCAGAACTTTCTCTGATTTTTCTGTCATGATTCAAAGTTTGTGTTGTCTCTCAAGCACAACTGTGAGAGATACAGGATCATATAATTTATGCAGCAAATTGAAAAGGAATGAATAAAAAGACTTGCTTTTTTATACCTTTCTTCAACATTCTTTGAGTTGCATTGGTCTATTTTCTGAATACAGTGCCTGTTTTATAGTGGGTCCTCAAATATTTGTTTAACAGGAATGAGTGTTTTCTCATCTATAAAATAGCAGTAATACTCATTTTGCCTACTTTAGAGTCTAGTAGCATCTGTTAAGATACTTTATTAATATAAGATGTCAAATTACAACTTTCTGAGTTTTTATTTTTTATTTAAGATATGTACATGTGCAGTTTACAGAGTCAGATAACTTACATGGTTAAATAAATAAATAAATACATAGCTTCCTGCCCTCTTGCTTTCCAGTTTTCCTTTCCTAGAAGCAATCACTTTCACTTTTTTAGATTGATTATTATCTCCTAGTGATATTTATCTCCTAGTCTTGAAATCACATGCTTCTGTTACTGCTAGATACGTGGTATAGCTGGATGGTTAGAGGTGTTAACTTGAATGAGATTGCTTAGGTTTGATTTATCTTCTGTCATTTACTAGTATAATGTGACTTTGGGCTACTTAATGTCTCTATGACTCCGTTTCTTTATTTTAAAAAAATGGGGATAATAGTATCTTCCTCATTGTGTTGTTTTAAGAAGTAAGTATATTTGGAAAGCCCTTAGAACTTTGCCTAGCTCACATGCCCTATGTAAGTGTTTATTAAGTAAAATGCTCCTTGCATTTGTTTTGTCTTTATTGACTTCCCAGATAGAAAATGAAGATTTATTTCTGTCATTACCACCTACTCACCTTGTCCCCCTTCTTCCCATTACCTATTCCTCCCAGTAGTTATGATTATATCACTATTGATTTTTTCAATATTCTTGTAAAATGTAATGAATTTTCCTGTCCTGTACAATGTCCTGTGGCTGCTTCCCTGCTCCTACCCCATCCCCAGCTATATAGCATTATAGAAATATTAGTTGGGTTCTCTGCTCCTCCCATGTTTTCATCTGTCAGCATGGTCTGTTTCTTTCACGTTCCCTCCCTCCCCTCCCTTGTTCACTCCCTTCCTTCTTTGAGTGCTTTAGGCTCTACCTTTCTTGATAGAGTCTTTTCTTAGATGTCTGGTAAGTCTTGGTTGTCTGCATGTAAGTTTAAGAGGAGTGAAGCACTGATTCAAAGTTTTCACTGTGGCTTGTTGTTGATTGTTAGCTTCACTGTAGGGTAATCTGGCTGGAGTTCATTATCTTTTTTTCTCTCTGCTTTTCTCTTAATCACTAATTCTCATTTTCATCAGATGTCTCTTAAGATGTTCTGATATCAGTTATTATTAGCAGTTTTGTCTTCTTCAAGATGTCTCTATTATATTCCTCTGGCTTCAGTTCTGGATTGGTTGCTCTCTTAGGCTTGGTACACAACTGTTTTCTGGGGATTTCCTTCATTTCCTCCTGTGTTGGATCTCCATTTTCTAGAGACCCAGTGTTGTCTTCATTTTGGCTTATTTGGTGTTTTAAAATGACTTTAGTTTATCCTGACACTTGTTTGATTCTTTGATTAGGCAAAGAATACCAGGTCGGGAAATATGTTCTCTTAAAACTTAGTACCATTGCTTTCTAGCATCCATATTGCTTTTGAGAAATCTGAAGCCATCTTGATTTGTCATATATCATATGTAACCTGTGTGTTTTGTTTTTCCTTCTGTTCTTCTCCTTCCCCTTACTTTTAAGGTCTGTGAAAGCTTTATAAGGTTTTAAGCTTGCAATTCTGGAATTTTATAGTGATAGGTCTTTGTGTAGGTCTGTTTTCATCCATGGTGCTGAATACTTGGTATACCCTTTCTGGAAACAACTTTCAATTCTGGGACTTTTTCCTTTTTTTTTTAAATTCTGAGATGGAGTCTCACTGTGTTGCCCAGACTGGTCTTGAACTC